AAGTCCATTTCCTCGATGACCTTCCAACCTGGCCGTACGGTGACTGAGGCGTCGCGGTTCTTGATGGGGGGATGTCCACCGCGGTTCCATCGGTTGCGATGCTGCTGTTGCTGCTTCTTTTTCTGGAAACCAAAACTGAAATTTTTCCTTAATAAAGGATTGAATTCCAGATTAGAAATGTGTCTTCACTTCGGGTTTCTTCCCCTTGACTTATTTTGGAACAAAAACCTATCATATCATCAGGCAACGGTATTCATGATATATTTCAAATAATGTCAAACTATTTAAAAGCCAATTTTAAATACCAACTTTCGTACTAACTCTCTTTTGTTTCCTTTGCCAAGAACTTGCATCTGGGGGCCCTTCTGGTTTCTCTGGTTTTTCATGTTACGCTGATTGCGCATGTATCGACCGCGCTGGTAGAGAGGTTTGGGCACATTTGTTTTGAACACGTGCTGGAAGGTCGACTCGTCTTCCTCATGGTAATATGCATATTGCTGCATACTTCCAAAGGTTGACTGATATTTAACTGTGGGAAAGAGAAAGCACATTTTAAAAATCTAAAATTTCTCATACAGTACTCATATTACTCCATTTAAAACTATGAAGTTATGTATAAATATACTATAAAACAGACAATTCTGCAAATATCAAGATAATAGAAAATTCAAAGCAGCGGCTGCTATTCCCTCAATAACAACAGCCATACAACACACAATTCTGTAGTCATCTTTCTAACTGATTGCAACTAAGTTATTAACCCAATGGCGCCGGGTGTACAAAAGAAAAAAAAAACCTCTACGCTTAAACAAACAAAGGCGGCGTAGGGGACATCAGCCCGAATCACTGGCTCGCCGCCGGCTCGTTCGGCTGCACGCCAGCTTTCGAGCTCTTTGTGTACACGCCGATCGGCGTCACCCGGCACCAAGGGGTTAATAAGAAAACTATGTGACAATAACACATGACTACCAATACCAATTCTTCATCCTTCTTACCCTTAAACAGTTTTAAAAGTAGTGAACACCAACATAAAAATGTAATTGCTCTCACTTTCAAAAAGGTTTTTAATGCTAACAATAAGCAAAAAATGGGGTATTTCTCCATCCTGATAACTTTCTATATAATCTATTCTCCCTGTTCCTATCAATATATCCCTAGATTTCTGTAAGTCTTATTTCTCTCCTCAACAAGACAATTCAAAGAAATATACGGGAGAGCAAAATATCTTTCAGGTACAGTTCCTATATAATTCATACAGAGGAAAAGAAGAAAGGAAAAGAAAAGAATTGAAAAGGCTGATGATACAGTGTGATTTAACTTGAATACAAACACAAAAGGCAAAGGAACTTTATTTTAGGGACCTGAACTTTAGGGTGGATCCCTATTACTGTAGAATAATAACAACGTTAAGCCTGAAAGTGGATTTTGCTCCAAACACCTTCCATTTAAAATTTTCTGTTGCTAAGTCTGCAGGAAAAAAATTCAGAATTCAAATAGTTAATTTTCAAAGACATGTAACATACTTCACTTTTGGGCTCTTTTCATTATCACTGTGTAAAATTTAGTTTTATTATTTATGCAGAGCTGATGAATAGCATGTATTTATCCCCCCCCCCCCAACAAAAAAAAGTATTCTATTTTGCTACAGTGGTTCAACCCAACTGCCAGCAGGTATGTAGTCTAGCCATGCCTGAATATCGTTCCAAGACAATTTCTTTTTTATTAATTTTGTGTTTCTGTAAAGCCATTACTGAATAAGAGCTTATGCCATAAATTTATATATACAATATTTCTATTGTAAGTATTAATCCCATCACTGAATATTATACTAAATTCTTTCTGCACAATCAATTGTTGCATTTGGTACTACTGCATGTAGCACACTATGGTCCTTATTTTGTTTCTCTCTCTGCTTTTAGTTTTAGTTTTTCATATGTCACAGCAATTGTAAATATCAATTTATTTTTTCAAGTTTCTACTCAACCTTCATTGTATTCATTACCACAATCCCTTAGATGTCCTAACCTTAAGGGTCGTGAATCTTTGCAATGACCTCATTGGCTGATAATTGTGTATAAAAACCTTGACCTCTGTCCAGTCAGTCACTTTACCTTTGACAATTACAACATATTAACACAATTTTACTTCCTATAAAACAGTTAATTCTCAACCAGCTCTTCATTTTGTGTATATATACACACACATATACATATGTAAAAACATGATGAAAAACAATTTATTTACACACACTCACTCTCTCTCTCACACACACACACACACACACACACACACACACACACACACACACACACACACACACACACACACACAATATATATATATATATATATATATATATATATATATATATATATATATATATATATATATATAGCAATATCCTGAAAGAGCTACCCTATCTGTGCCTCTCGTTCAAACAGGAAAGGGCTGTCAGAGAGAACATGAATGTGAACTGAGATTACAAATATTTTGTTTGTCACCTTAAAATTGAAAGGCTATTGAAGCCATTTACAAATCTTATTTGTACTGACATAGATATATCATGTTCATGATATATTTTTGCATTACTTATGTATACATAAATAAATAAATAAAAATGCACTTAATATAAATAAATAAATAAATATATATATATATTTTTTTTCCCCTGAAGCTAATGTCTCGTAATTAAAATTACTGTGTCATATGACAATCAAAGTGGGTTACCACCAATTATTATTACACGAATACCAGCTTTCATGTAAAACAGGAAATTTACTTATAATCACACTAATTACTGTATCTGGCAGGTGTTTTTCATCTATAGTGCAAGTACTGTGGATCTGGATTAAACTGTAATACAGTATTAACCCCGTGGCTCAGGATGCTTCACTATTGGTATGAGGCCTGATATTTGGGCATTAGGCTTATTTGAGAAACTACTCTGATGGGTGTGTGGCTTGTAGGCTGGGTGCACACGACCACTCAATGTGCATTGAAAAGACTCCATGCCTCTCCTTAGCAATGTTATTTACTCTTTTCCTGTAAAAGCAAATTTAGCTTTTATGCCATTTTCCAATGCCTAATTGTCATTTGATTTGCTTTATCCAGAAGGTAACAGAATGTTTTCCTTGCAAAGACTCCATATTGTCTCTCTAAGTCGTCCATAAATCAGTCCAATAATAACAATAATAAGGAACATTGTTATTTTTGTATCTAAAAAAATAATTATATTAAATGTTCTGAAATACAACCTGGTTATGGCAGGCAGAAATAGAATCCTGACCGTGGATATATCGTCCTCCCCAGAGCCAATACCTCCAGTCATGGCCCACAGATGATACATTCCACACTTGCTTATTGATGGAAATAATGCAAAAGGTCCTTCCTAAATGCCCACTAAGTCTAATCACCTTCTAAGTGCAATGTGCACTCATGTGGAGTCAATCCATCACACCCCAGCCTTCAGATGAAAGTCTCATGCTCATGACAGCAAGTTCAATTCACCATGGCCCTTAGCCAGATTTTCCTGTGACAGCATGTTTACCTCACCCTCCCCTCATGCCAAATTATTCCATGATATGATGGTCATGTCATCTGGATGTATCTACTTTATATATTAGCATCATGAACAACTTTTGACTATGTTTTTAGGAACCCAAGGTAGTCCACAACTGACTTTTGGGGAAAACCGAGTAGTGTATACTACATTCAACAGTGGATTGTTCTTTAACTAATGTGTGTTTAGCATACTTTAAAAAAAATATATGTATTACTAACTATATACAATAAATATAAAAAATATACTGAATCAATTATATATGAAAGTCAAAAGTGTAGGAACAGAAGGTAAATTTTCTGTGTATGACAATCAGGTCTTCACAAACAATCTCAAAATCATCAAATTCATTCTTGATTCTTGTGTGATGAAAAGGAATCTAATGATCATTTCTGTTGCAGACAGCCAACAATCTTGGTATCATTGTTCTGATTGCAGGGAAGGGCATGAAATATATCAGGGTATTCGTAGGGTAATATAGGCTGAAATAGTAAGAATATAGAAAAAAAATATAAAAACACTACAACCAACACTTAAAATCAGCCAATGAAACTTTAGACGTGCCCACCATAACTGAAAGTCTACAGGCTGGTGCACCATCTTAAAAAAATTCTATGGGTATACACACCATCATGAGTCACTAGTCAGAGGGCTCTGCCCCCTGAATAGCCTATGATTGTTAAACAATATGTCTTACCCTTACACTCAATCTAACTACCCAACCAGGAAACCCCTGGGCCTCTGGTATTTACACAATATGCCATATATTCCTGGCTCTGGACCCCTGTGGTTCAAAGCCAGGGATTATGTGGCAACAAATCCTAACCATACAAACATCCAACTGCCTAGCCAGGTGCAGAACCTGGCCCCAATGGTAAATGTCCCAAGCATGATGGGAGATATAACTTTGCAGTAGCAAATAAAAAAAATTCTTGGTATGAATTACAAAATATTACTTTTGCTTCTACATATATAGAAGCCTGCTGAAAACTATGGAACATTGTAAAGCAAAACACCAAACTATTTTTCAGCTCCATTGACTGTTTGAATTGCTTGGTACCTACCAACAATTTTTATAATAATTGGGACACTTGATGTCAAACTGTGATTGTTACTAATGCCTACCTCAACATTGCCTCAATATTGTTTTAAAAATGACCTAGAATTACACAAAATTAAGAACAAAACATTTCCTGCCAGTGCTTATCAAGGAATGGAGTCTCCCAATGCTGCCAAAACTCATACCATACAATATTCAATAGATTTCATAAAACATGACATGAAAATTGATGGTTGACATCTGGCATTTTTATCTAAAGATTTCAAATTCTTTCTCTATTTGTCAAACTTTTAAAAGGATGACACTTAGGTCAGAAGTCCATAAAGTAGGCATATATACCGCATGAAATTATTTTCTGCTAATACAATTTTTCTCCAATTGAAGAAAAAGAGGAAGACGATACAAAAATAATCGACTCTACTGTATGTCATACATATAAATACACAAATTTTGTATCCAATTACATATTCACCTCTATGTCATCTCTGCTGATCTAGTTTACAATATTACCCTACCTAAAGAAGGTAGTCTACATCTTCATATCTATCCATATTTTTCATAAAACATACTATTATTATTAACTATGTCTAAAACATGTGTGTCTCTCTTTGAATACCAATATATTTTGGTATTCAAAATGAGAAAGATTCTTACTTGCATAGCGTCGATCTTGATAAGTTGCACCAGTCCAGTCAGAAACCTGGAAAAGTAAAATAAAAATCAATATTCCAAATTTAGGAAAATGAAACAAAGCTCTATATCACAATAATAGTAACATTCTTTTTCTTTTTATACCTAATGTTCATGTCAAGTACCCTTTCAATACACACAAAAAAAACTATATGCATCTTGTACCCTGGAAGACCCTATGAAACTTGATCGAGTGTCATTGTGGTACATTTTCTCTCGAAAAATGAGAAGGCAATACCTAAAGTTTTTCATTTAAAGCTGGCTTTATTTATAAAGTCAGTTGCATTACACTTAATGCTATTGTTACCCACCAGCACAGAAAAGGTATATGACAAATGAACAAAAAAGGGTTAACATCACACCTAACTTAAGGGAAAAAATAATTTACCCCAAAAAATTCAACTGGTCTGTGGAGTGGAAAATACATATCACCAAATACTTAAATGTTGATATTAATTAATTGTTCATGCTCTCTACCATCCATATACATAAGAATTCATGCATGGTAATCCTCTATACTTCAAAAATTTGGCTGCAATAAGAAGTATTAAGTATAAAAGAAATTGAGATAGCACTGTGAGAGATTTACCAATTGCAGGAAACAAGTGAAAGTATTAGTAATTGCTCATGTAGTGACCTCAGCCCACAAACAAAATCCTTATTACTCCAGCTAACAACCTTGAGGGCACTCTTTCCTGACCCAAAGGCTTCACACCGAACCCCCACCCAATCACCAAGGACTTTGTCTCTGTATGGTATTGTCATGCCCCGTTTTCTTAAATTTCTGACATTATTCTTTGAATGAGACAAATAAAATGTTAAATATTTTAACTTTTATTTCTTTCTTTTTATTGCACTGAGATGTAGACTACCTAGAGAGATTATATGGAATCTATGCAAAGAAAACAGTCTATTACCATCTGGATAATGCAAATCAAATGACAAATGTGGACAGTGGAAAATGGCAAAAAAGCTAAAAATGCTTATGCATAAAAAGAGAAAAAGGAGCACCCATTACCAATATGAATGCAAGCAGCATATCAGAATTATTTTCTAATTCAGTTCATAATATATTATATAGTTCTTACTTTATTATTTGATGCCAGTAACATGTGTATATATAGTTTCAACCCCTTCCCGACGGGTCACGCATGTAGGCACGAAAACAAACAGCTCGAAATGTGGTGTGCAGCTGTATGCCGTGGCGAGCTGGTGATTCAGCTTGATGTACCAAACTCCTACACTCAAAGTCGGCATGCTGCCATTGATCCACAGAGGATAGAGTCCCCCCCCCCCCCTCTCTTAACCCGTCACCATAGGGTTAAAGATTTAGGTTGCACCATTTTGGGAGGTCTGTATTATTTCCTATTTCTGGGTAATTGAATGCACTTGTTTACATGTATAATATAGGCCAATTAATGTAAATGCATATTATACATATATACACACACATATATATATTAGGCTTATGCAATATATACTTATATATACACATCTCTTTCTTTCTATATCACTATATGTGGTCCAGGGTGATTTAACCGAATGGTGATGGGTGAAGAAAACAATAAAAAACTCTACACTCTGGCAAACCATGGCAGCACACTGACTTTGAGCGCGGGAGTTCGGTACATCAGGCAGAATCACTGGATTGCCGCCACCGCGTACAGCCACACGCCACTTTTTGAGCAGTTTGTTTTCACACCTATCGGTGTCACCCGTCATGAAGGGGTTAAGTATCATCAGCCGCCAGCAGTCAAATTTCAACATATAAGAATATAATCAGAATCATTCTATTAGATGAGTAAAAACACCCATACAGGAGAGTAGTCCTGAATCTGAACATAAGGAATATGCAATCCTGGCTGATTTACTAATAATGAAATATAGAATTTGCTCATGTTGGTATCCCTAATCTTTCCCAGACAATTAAAGGTCTTGAGAGTGATTGTGAACAGGAGTTGTAAATGACATTTAACATTATAATAGTTGGGTTTGAAACTATTTCACCTGATACACGGACTAAGAATATGGCTGTAAAATCAATGCTGCAGCCAGCATTCAGCATACCACCTGCAGTAGCATCTTTCCCTGGCGGAGTCACCAGGGAAGGGGCCTAAAAATTTAATAGTGTGGTTTGGGAGTGTGGGCTTCCCCATACCCTTCCCTAGGGATTAAACTGCAGGGCCCATTC